GCTGCTGCAACAGACCGATTGCATCATCTCCTTCCATGCCGCCATGTTTCGAACGGCGTGGCGTGTTGTGTTACTCGAAGTTGCACCAGACTCGGCATAAGTTGAATGATGTTTTCGTTTTCATTAACCGAACCGTATGCAATGTAGTGCAATCTTACATAATGTCAGGACCCAATCTTGACAGAAACCATTCTCTGCGTCCACCTCGAACCGGTGAGTCGACATTTCCCTCTTCCCCTTACTTTTGTTTTGTTAGATGAGTAAGAGCTCTGGCGGCACTCCCTTACTGTTGTCACGCTCTGAATCACCTTCTGTGTTTCAAGAATCAGTGAATGAATTTTGTTCTATCTTTACATGCATATGCTCATTGATGTCGTAGTCAGTCCTCAAAAGCGGACAGCGATGGTCTGAACCAATTACGAGAAGGTACAAATTGAAAAAATGGTTCAAATGTTTTTGGGACAGAATGTGCATTTATACCCTTGGCTTTGAAACTTGCAATCTGTTCTATCCCTGAACCAAAGAGTTTTGCCAATTTGGAGGAAAATGTATCAACTCTCATGGAAATAATCGGAGAGCTCATGAAGGACAACACACAACTGAAGCTCGATATTACGCAACTGAAGGATGACAACTCACAACTGAAACTCGATAACGAAAATCTGAAGTCCCAACTGGAGAACAGAGTGGAGGACAGACTCCAATATCTGGAGGCCGTCACTCGGCAAATAGGTGAATTGCATATTCATAAAATTTTCGACTAATGTTCAATTTGCAATATATAATGCTTGTGTCACAGTGCCCACATCTTGCGAGACACTCGCAAGGCTGGGCGTAACGCGGTCAGGAACCTACCTTGTGGATCCAGATGGGGTGCTACGAGGCGATCAACCCATACAAGTATTCTGCGACATGGTCACCGGTAAGGGCGGCAAAATGAAGAGCCAGGTCAACCTGATCTCTATTTCGTCTCCGTTGAGCCATTGACACGCTCGGTCACTTTTTTTTACTTGTTCGTAGATACGGCATCCACTTACGTTCTCCACAATTCGATGGAAGCTACGGAGATATATCACTGTCCCGATCCCGGCTGCTATGCTCGCAGAGTTACTTACGATGCGTCAATCAAGCAGATGCAGGCGTTGATCGATCAATCGGAATCATGCGAACAGCAAATAAGAGTGAGTTGAAGCTGTGAGATCGATTTTGGCATATTGGCATATGCAAAGTGTCTTGACTGGCGTCTATTAGTTATAAGATGTCAACATCTATACTGAAATGCACTCCTCAGAGAAAAACTTGTGGATCAATCACGTGTTCCTCACGTGCATTTTATAACCTACTATGACTCTTAAATTTGTTTGTCCCCCTATATCATGCACATCGTGGAAGACTATGCAGCATGTAAGGAGTACTTCTTTCAGGCACATGTCAGTGACCCTGGACATCATGCTTGCACCGTCCGAATTAATCTGCTAATAATAAATCCTTTCTAGTAATCCTTTTTTGCTTATGTCTTGTTTTCGGGTAAATCTAATGATTGAGATGCAAGAATGCAAGACGAGAATGCAAGACGAAGGAGTTGTGTGATCATAATGAAATTTCGCCAGCAAGCTACTGTAGCATGAAAAAGACATGAATTGCAAAGGTGTGGGATGGATATTCTCTGAGAAACATTGCCATTCGTGGCCAAAAAAAAAACTGATTAATACCTGCTATGGGATCATACTAATGGCTCGAAACAGACAATCAGGAGTTTTGTGGATGAAACGAGGCAGGAAAACTCCTAAAGTTATGCAACAATATCGTGCTAATTTTCGAGGTCGTGATAGGAGGCAATGCTAAGATAAACCTGGAAAATATCCGCAGAGTCGTGGAAATGGGCGGCACCATTGTTTGTGCCAGTTTACTTCTCTTTCTCTCAGTCGCTTCACCATTGGGCCGTTGTTGAGGGTCAAACTGCCAGGCTGTCATAATGAAAATTTTAAAGGCACTATGAACAATATTTTAGTGTTTCATCGACGTAGGCTAATCGGGATACTTGTATCAGCTTCACTTAGCAGGCTGATGCATCCATCAAGCTGATGCTAAGAAAGCATTTGCTTAATATTTCTGCTTTTAAAGTAATATTATGACAATTTGAAATAATAATATTCAGTAGTTTTCTCTATTGCAACAAAGGGATAATTCACTTTACGTGGTAGCTTCCCGCTCGTCGGTAGAAGAAAAGGTCGAGTCCACTCCTATTTTGACTCTTGAATTGGTCACGATTTACTATATTTTTCGTTAAAAAGAAAGCATCATTTCTCCCGCACAGTGTTAGGAAGGAGCTATCATCAATTGATTATTATTTGAGTACTTTTTATTGCAGTACGACTGTTTTTCCGCGGCCCTGACTTCTGGTGACACACACTATGCATGGTGGGTGGGCCGTCACGGCGACCCTCAGCATTACTGGGATGGATCCCATGCCGGGGAACATGTGTGCAGCTGCGGACTGACAAGCGACTGCGTCAACTCCGCCAAAGCTTGCAACTGCGATGCGGAAGCCCACCAGTGGGAATCAGACTTCGGCGTCATTACCAACGGCTCAATACTACCCATCACCGAGCTCCGATTCGGCGGATTGCAAGTCGAGGGCCAAAGAGCGAAGCATACTCTGGGGGCATTGGTCTGCAGGGGCCATACTCCATCAAGCAACCCAGTAAGATCGTGTTCATCCCTCCGCCGAGCTGGATTGTTTGATGTCAACTTATGTCGGATGGATTTGGAAGATACCGACGTGGGATTCCAAGAGGGCCCTAGTCCCCGAATCATTGAAGAAGGCGTTTATTTCGATGCCTATCGCGAATCAAATTGCCAGTGTGCAGCAAGGCCAATTCCTTTCGATGGGACAGAGGTGAACGTTGGGAACGCCATGAATGCGAGCAGCGGGATTTTTACTGCACCTCTGAGCGGCATATATGCATTTCATTTCCATTGTCTGATGGAGCAATATGCTCAGCTACGTATAAGGCAAAATGGGGAAATCAAAGCAGAATTGAAAGCAGAAGGAAGTTCGATACTGCCCCACATGGCAAGTCAATCCGTTCTCCTTCAACTCCTTGCAGGTGATAAAGTTGACGTCTTCATGCTTGGGAACGGCTATATTTACTCAGGTCGAGAACGCCACATACATTTCGTGGGATATTTGTTGCATTCCCTCCTCGAATTAAAAATAGCGTGCAGCAGGATGCTGTGTCTTGCGTTCCTTATTATAGGGTAGACCTACTTCTCTCAAACCTAAATGTTTTTGTAGAAAAAAGAAGGCCTGTCTCGACCTGAGTCGCACCTGCGGTTTTCGCAATTTGAGCTGATTACCTGTCGTTCTCTAGGTGCCATCGAAAGGGTAGCACCCTAGGTCTACAAGGCTATGCCTCTCTGGGCCGTAGGCTAGGTCATAGAACCCTATAATTACTGACCTGAGATACACAAGATCATATATACAGGGTGTATTATATTAATAATGTATATTAACGAGCCGATAAAATGCACCATTGGCGCATTATTATCCAATATTATTGCTAATGCCTTAAAAGCATTCGTTTTCAAAGCGCACCCTTCATGATGCAGGGAAACCCCTTGATTATTGGGTTTGGCAGTTCTGACACCTTCGGCGCTCACACCTAAAAAATGGGTTACGTCAGAAAATTTTTATACTGACGTCATATGACTTCCAGCAAGAGGATCACCAGATAAAAACTCAGCGGATCGTTTAATATTCCTATATTGACTTTAACTCATGCCTGTGGTCATCAAACACTTCTTTGTACATAAATTTCCAAAAACCTATAGTAGCAGACACACAAGCATATTCCTCAGGCGTTTTAACGCAATTATTCTCTGTACACTCTTGGGCGTTTTATCGTTATATTCATGTTTATATTCGGGCACGAGGACTCCTACGAAGTGTCCTTTTCAAACTCTTCCTAAGGCTACATGCATTTGTTCGTGAGAAAATAGTCATTCCGTAAATGTAAATAATAGCTATTCACGTTCTCGTCTCGTTGAAGGAAGCATGTGCATAGCAATAGCATTGACCTAAGTGTCCGTAAGTGGATTACTCTTATCCACACATGAATTCAGCACAATAATGTCTCCTACATTAAAAAGAAGCAGATCCAGACAACGATACTAAAGCCGAAGAAGTCATGAACCTGGGATGACTAGGACACGATACCCAGCACCACGTGAGTACGGGACCAGAGCCATCGCACTAAGCCTAAATTAACGAAATCCAAATTAATTTTTTTAAGTGGCGAAATGGTGCACTGGAAGCAACAAGGACACTTTTTGTCACCTACAGGTCAATACCATTGGTTTTGTTGGTCTCTTTCCTCAAAAAACTTTCCAGGAGCGGCTATCCAGGGGGAGGAAGAAAAAAAAACGGAACGAAATAGACATCTCTTAAAAGCGAGATTCAGCGCAATCCACCCACCAGCTGCAACTCATCCACCAGGTATGAGAGAGGAAATTAATAAAAATAAAGAGAATGAGTTTGTGACTTAAATTCAACATTTCACATGTTCAAGTGGGTTGCCAGAGGCAGAAGACGAAAGAGATGAGTGATGGGGAGACATACCCCACAAGCACAACAAGGGCTTGTCCTTCTTGTCTAAGCATGAGGATGAAGTGCAAGGAGCCCTTACGGAAATGTCCTATAGGAAACCTTTAGCTATTTCTTATAGGAAACCTATAGACTTTCCTATAGGTTTTTGAAACACGAAAAACCTATAGGATCCTTTAGAATCCTATGGGATCTCTATAGGGTCTTATAGGTCTCCTGACCTATAGGATTCGGGGAGGATATTTTGAGATTCGAAATCCAGGCATTACGACGGAAAAGGCGACCGGGGACATGCATTATTAATACCAGTACTGCGAGGGTCTGCATAATTTATAACCCTGCCCAACATATGCCGCTGGATTGCATGTATACTTCCTCCGGTAGAGAGAAGCAGTATTCTTCTCTCGGCCTAAGGAAATGTAAGACAGAACCTGCGAGCACGTCTCTTTACTGAAACTCCATTTAGATAAAGTCTACTTATTTTCGTACGTGGTTTTCAAAAGGAATTTGGGCATAATTCTTCACGGGACTCAATGATTCCATCTGGAAGATGGGGATGACAAAGAAGGAACTGTTGAAGTTTATTGATTGCTACAATGAGGCAAGGCGAGACATTTGGGGATGTACAAAACTCTCTTGCGAGAGATGATTCCTTGGATAAGGGGAGGGCACTCTTGTGCCCTTTGAGAAATGCGAGAACACAATACTTCCATCTAGTGGCCTAGAGGAGAACTTCAAACGGAACCCTCTAAGCCTATAGGGTTCCGTAAAAGTCCAATAGGGATCCCTATAGGTCCTATAGGTCCTATAGGGAACGCTATAGGTCCTTTAGGGAATCCTATAGGTCCTATTGGGAACCCTATAGGCCCTATAGGAACCCTATAGGTCCTATAGAGAATCCTATAGGTCTTATAGGGAACCCTATAGGGAACCCTACGGGTCCTTTACAGAGCCCCTTGTGTCCTATAGGGAACCTATAGGCCTTATGAGGAACTCTATTGGTTCTATAGGGGGCTCTATAGGTTCTATAGGGAACTCTATAGGTTCTATAGGGGACTCTATATGTCCCGAACTGAACTCTATGGGGCATATAGGAACTTATAGGATTCCTTTAAGTTCCTATAGGATTCCTTTAGGTTCCTATAGAATTCTTATAGGAATATATAGGAATCCTATGAGACATTTTCGTAAGGGAGGAGCGGTTATAGGGGCACTCGATCAGCATAAGTTTACTTCCAGACTATGTTCTGGACAGTAGAGAGAGGGGGGAGGCAAAGGGGTAATATGCCCCGTGTTTCTTGCTTTGGGGGGGGGGGGGGGGGACCGGATGACGTGTACTTTTGTGTTGCAGCGTAGCGTTTATTAGCAATGAAGAGTTACTTGAGTGTGTTTGAAGCAGGGGAGAGGGGAAAGAGAGCCTAATAATTCCTTTCGATGGCCTCATGTTACAAGCTTAGCATAGGCTAGGAATGTCAAACTGGATTAAGCTGACGGCTGGATGGAACCCTTCATGAGTGGTTGGGCATTAGTAAATCATATACCAAAGTTTCAATAGCAAACAGGTTGAAAAACTTCACGCTTTTCCAAAACCAACTGTTGAAGAGGTTTTTGCTGGCTGGACGAAGTAGTGGGCCTGCAGTTTCACACTCCTGACCCATACCGATCCGACGTTGGCGGAAGACTTCCATAGGTCATTTTCAAGAACGGGATCTAGGGGCTGCTGACTGAGGTCGGGAATTTCCGAGAAACAGTTCGTGGAAGATTTCCTAAGGGTGCCCGTTTGCCCGTCTCACACTCCACTCGCACTTTCTCTCCGGCTTTGGGACAGTCGGATCCGTTCCTGAGAACGGGAGAGAGTGTTATTGCACACCTTGCATCCCCCCCTCTCCCTAACTAAGGGATGTTCACACCAAAGGCCTTATACTAAGAAGACTGGACACTGCGCGAAAGCAGGGTAACCGCAATGGCGGTCTATGCTCTGGTGGTTGGCCCTCGAACTAACGAAGTCTGACGCCATTTCTGTTGCGCGTGACTGATTGACATAGCTGGCGTAAGACCATGGAGAGGAGAGGGGGGAAAGCAATGTTCGGAGGATCTCCGGGGGGGGGGTGCTACGATTCTTGAATTCAGACAGAATTGCAAGACGATACATGCTGTGTCGATTACCTATGTAGCAAGGAATCAGTTTCTTTTTTGTTAATTTACGAACTGCATTATTTTCATGAACTGGAGATCGCTGAATCACAATAGCTATCTCATACATTGCCAAGAACATTTTGGCTTAGCTGCCAACAACATGTGCAAGTAGATGCCAGCTGTAACCCAACTGGACCCCAGGAACATGAGGCTGTAAATACAAAGCAAAGCTGCACCCACATCCTGTTTTTGTCCCTTCAAAATTGAAGTCATCCCATTCTAACAGGCCTGTTAATCCGAGACGCGAAAATGTTGACATTTTCGTTAGGGTCATTGAGGTTACTCAGCATTTTACTTCATCCGCCTGTTACATATATTGTAAAGCCATGACCGTAGGCCTAGTGCAAAGCCCTAGGTGAACACATGTGCGTGCCTTTCCGGATCCTTGGGAAAC